TAAATAATTAATTAATTGATTGAGAAATAGCTTTCGATGTTGTACACTGGTGATTCAAAAAGTTGTTATGCGTATAATAAATTTTGTTTATGCATTGACTAGAGTGAAACGCCACACAATCTCAGTGTTTGTTGGAGATGAAAGCGGTATAATAAACCGAATTACAGGGGTTTTTGCTAGAAGAGGTTACAACATTGAATCTCTTGCTGTTGGCTTGAATAAGGACAAAGCTTTGTTCACCGTAGTTGTCTCTGGAACAGCGAAGGTCTTGCAACAAGTTGTAGAGCAGCTCAACAAGCTTGTTAATGTCTTAAAGGTTGCATCCTTTTTCTGCTATTTGGCTTTGTTTGACTATCACCCTGAATTAAAAAGTCTCGTCCGATTTGTTCAACGCTGTTTTGATGCATCAGGTGGAAGACCTTTCAAAGGAACCACAGGTAGAACGGGAATTGATGCTTGTGAAGCTTAACGTCAATCAAACCACAAGATCTGAGGTTTTATTTTCTCTACTTGAATCATTTTTCTGACTTTCAGAAGACTTGCGTATATGTTATTGGTTTCTATCTTGTTAATCGATTACATATGAGATTGAAGATTGATACGCTGTCACTTCTCCTTCAGATTATGTGGCTAGTAGACATCTTTAGAGCCAAAGTTGTGGATACAACAGAATACTCGTTGACAATAGAGGTGACCTATTTCATTACATCTGCACTTACATATGACCACTGACTCGTTATAAACATACACTCATACAATTAAAGTAAACGACAGTTGTTAATACTACTAATTTAGCCAAGTTTGTAATCAAAGAGCTCCTCTGGTTAATCAGGTCACTGGGGATCCTGGGAAGATGGTTACTGTTCAGAGAAACTTAGCCAAATTTGGAATCAAAGAGCTCTCAAGAACAGGGAAGGTGAGATGTGTCTTAAATGTCCTTTTTCATGCAACACACTCTTACACACTAACTGTGTTGTAGATTGCTTTAAGAAGAGAAAAACTGGGTGAAAGTGCTCCATTTTGGAACTTCTGTGCAGCTTCTTATCCAGATCTGGAAGCCCCAACTCCAATTCCTACTGCCTCAAGTATAACTCACACGGTTGATGAGAACTTGAGTGTGGTTTCAGGGGTATATTCTTTAATCTTTACAGGTTTCTATTTGTGATAATTACTTCGTCTTCTTTTTTTATTAATTTGAGTTATGATATATCTGTTTGAATGAAGGGAGATGTTTATCCTGTGGAGCACTACAATAGGTTCTCAATGAATCAAGTCCTTGACCCCCACTGGGGTGTGCTTTATGAAGAAGATGTAAAATATCCATCAATTTCTCATTTTTCATTAATGTTTTATCAACCATTATCTAGCAAATAGTTTATGAGGTATAACTGAGATTTGAAATTAATAAAACAGTCAACTGGTCATAAGTCTCACACTGTCAACATTCTTGCGAATAATGCTCCTGGAGTTCTCAACCTGATCACCGGAGTTATATCCAGAAGGGGTTACAACATCCAGGTTTGTTTTTTTGTTTTTTCCTTATATAATTTTTTAGGTAAAACGTTTACTTTTTTTTTTTTTTAATAAAAAAAAAAAAAAAACTGTGTTGTGTAATGTGTACAGAGTCTGGCTGCAGGTGCTGCAGAAATGGAGGGTTTAGCTCGGATTACAACTGTGATTCCTGGAACAGATGAATCTATTGACAAATTAGTTCAACAGTTTTACAAACTGGTGGATGTTCACGAGGTGAAAGATATTACGTATTTGCCATTTGCAGAACGTGAGCTGATGTTGATCAAAGTTGCTGCAAACGCTTCTGCTCGAAGGGATGTTCTTGACATTGCCTGCATCTTTCGAGCTAAACCCGTTGATGTTTCTGATCACACTATCACATTAGAGGTCGTTTTTTCTTTTAAAATAAAATAAAATTTCATAATTCGGTAATCCCGTTTTCTACTTTTCTTTATATTGATATTTTCTGGTTTTCATATTCCAGCTCACTGGAGATTTTAATAAGATGCTTGCACTGCAAAGGTTATTGGAGTCGTATGGGATTTGTGAGGTTAGTATTATAGTTTGATCCTTAACTATTCTTTTTTTTTTTTAAATAATATATAATCTTTTATATTGGTGCGCATTATAATCTGAAGGTTGCAAGAACGGGTAGGGTGGCATTGGTGAGGGAATCTGGGGTGAATTCTGCATATCTTCGTGGATTCTCTTTTCCAGTCTAATAAACCAAAAAGCTTCTTCATGTTATTTGTTGTTGTATTACTATTAATGATTGGTTGATCTTCATGCAAGTTATATTTTGTATTTTATATTTTATATAAAATAAATGCAAGTTACATGGCGGAGCAGTGGACCCAAGAAAATTTTCTACCAGGGAACAAAAATTCCGTTCCATAGCTCACCACCGCTGGCAATAGGGAAAAACTACAATAAAAAAATATTAAAAATAATCGATCTTTGTTGTTATAATGGTATTCGCAAATAATAAGTTGAATAAACTTGTAACATTAATCTATGTTCTTGTTGATTATAAGTAAAAGTTTATGTGTTTTATTTCTGTCGTATTCACAAAAAATACCATTCAAATGTTTGTATATGTCTATGTAACCTTCACAAAAATAGCCAGGGATTCTTCAGACAACCATTCTTTTTAATTATTTTTCCCTTTCTAACTGTTCAAATGCAGTTATACAAATCCAATCAACCCTGTTTATCTTCACCAATAAAATAGTTGAAAAGAAGTCACCAACTCCCATATAACAATGTTGTTAATGTATTTAACCAATTCCCACCTAACCAATCCTTCTTTGAATTTATCTAAAGTCCCATTTACCATCTTATCCAGCTTTTGTGTAAACATGTTAAAACCATAACATGATTCACACTAAAGTGTACCATAACATGATTCACACTAAAGCATAACATGATTCACACTAAAGCTACACCGAGTCATTCATTCTACAAATTAATTCAAAAGCTTGACTTTATTGTTCTTTCCCAAAATATCTTCCAACTGGTCCAAAACCGCCCTTACATTTAACCGCCTTTCGAGCTCAATGTATATGCCAGAGAAGCAGCATATGAAAAGATGAAAGGTGCTTCTTAACGAATCGGCCAAGGAAAGAAAAAATATTATACCAGCTATTGAAGAATAGAAAACAGTGGATAATTAACAAAATAAAAAAATCAAAGTATGTTGAAGGGTGGATAAAAAAGCCGAACATATGGTTGAGGTTATATAGTCGGTTTTTTTGGAGATAAAAAAGCCGAACATATGGTTGAGGTTATGTAGTCAGATTTTTGGAGATTTGTAGAGGATATTGATAAGCCCCAACTTTACTGGTTTCAATGACGGAGCTTAAAGTTTTGATTTGAATGACCGAAAATAGAATATGTATAAAAATTGAAGAGCAGGGGGGGGTCAAAGTCAAATTTTATAGTTTTGGGCATAATATGTAACTTTTTTAATAGTTATGAACTAAATATTAAAAAAAATAGGGGGGGGGGTATATAAGATCCGTCAATGGCTAGTTTATAGCATAGGGGTATTTCTGTCTTTTATCTATTTATTTTCATATTAGTGAGTCTAAAGTTGATCATGGGTGGAAAACAATGTTAGTGGGGATAGAACCTAATTATGTTGGTTGTTATTCCCTTTTTTCTTGTCTTTAGTGGTAGTATATATAGTCCTTTTGTTTTGGAGAGTTGTAGCTAAGAATTGATTTGTAAAGAACTTCGTTCTTCTTGGAGAGACCATTCCTCTTGAATGAATGGAAATCGATCTTTAAATTTATCATAGTTTGATTATCAGTTCAAGAATGTATCAGACCCTATCATATATAAATATCAGTTCAAGAATGTATCAGATCCTATCATATATAAATAGAGCAAAAACACGGGTTATTTATGCACTAAGAATTTCTACAACACTAATACTTGATATCTAAAATAATAATTACTATTGAAGCCTAAAAAACTAGTGAGAAACACACAATTTCTACCTATTTGAAACAAAAACCCTTTCGGGACAAATTCTTTGGATTGCACATAAGGATCTAAAGAATTTTTTCATAATATAACATGAAAAAAATATGAAGATGTATAAACTAGTAGAAACAACATACTCATTACACCTGAATCTCTTCACTAAACGGTTCAAAATGATATTCCAGAAGAATGTTATGGGTACCACATTTCAGATTCCTTTTAAATTAAAAGTTGTTTACACCACCGAATACCCATTGGGCCTCGGGTCCAAAACGATTTGTTTCCGAATTGGTGGTCGTTTTTGTAAATTGCAAAAATATGGGTTATTTTTGTAATCCTAAATTAACAAGTTGTCATTTTTGTGAAGATCATTTTTTCTTTCTTTGGAAACAAAACACAAAAGAACTTGAGCTTCTTTAGACTACCAAGCTTGTAAGGAAGAAGCTAGCAAAATGCTCTACTTTGTGTGAATTGTAGAATCCTATGAACCATCAAGTTTTCTTGAAGCCATCTATCCTAAGGGAACGGCTGTTTGGGAATTTCACATTGTACCGCTCCCCACCATAACAGGTACTAATGGTGTTGAGGAACGATATTGGATTCCTGTGTTTGTGTTACGGTTTGCCTAAATAGGAACCCCTTTCTGCGCACGCGCACGCACACACACACACAAATTTAAAGAAAAAAAACTAATCTTTTAAGGGGTGTAGGTACTCTTGCAAAAACCAATGTTGATTTAAGGTTGAAAAATGTGATTCCAGTGTACAAAAATTATGGATCACTCATAACATATAATACTTGGAAAAAGCATCGAATATTATTCAAAAAATCTCACACACATTTGCTATTCATCTTAATAATATACGAGGCTTGTAAAAAGCTTATATACAACTCCAATTTCCAAACATTAAACTCCTAATCTTAACAAGGCATCCCCACCCTCAACAATATAAAAAAGAGTAAGAAAATATAATAAACAGTTACACTCACTCATTCCCAAAAAAAAAAAAAAAAAAAAAAAAAAGCCCTGTTTGGACCAAAATAAGTTCAAGGGGTATGAAGATCTCGTATATGGTCAACCACATCACGTGAACCACTGAGCCACTTAGCATCAGCCCGGTGAAGCACATTCCCATGGACCCGGTTCAACTCCTCATATTTGGGTTCCATAGGCATAGACCTGCCAGACAAGCTCTGTGTGTGCCTGACACGAACCCTATGACATTTTTTCTCAACTGTACAGCTTCCCCTCCTCACTTCCACCATCAACATAACTTCCTTATCACGCACATCTTCACACCAACTATTTTGAGCTTCACCATCCACATATTCCTCCATAGTTTCATATCCTTGATGATGTACACATATCTCAGCTATATGATTCGGTTCTATTATACCACTCGTTGGTTTCACCTGAAGAAAATATACCCCTTACTTAGTTACTCACTTTATCTGTAATAATAGTACACAACAGAAAACAATTTACCTCAAGCCAACGTGGAAAACCAAAAGAGCCTCTTGGCTGGTGATCGGATTCTTGTTTTCCATCTTTAATGGTGCATTGACCTTCACATTTAACTCTAAATAAAGCTTTGTCTTCCCCACATTTATTGGTGATTCGTAAGATTGATTTATCATCGTCTTGAAGAATTATATTGTTTGTACTCATAATGGCATCCGGAACATTGTTTTGTTCTTTCAGAATATTTCTTATTTTCTTATTGGATTTTATAATTTCTCCAAATATTTTTCTTCTTTTTGGCTCGTCCACTCGAGCCACCTCCACGTTAAAGATGCATCGCACAGGCTTATGATCACTATCTGTCACATCCATGCAAGCTTCATACCTGAACAAAAGCAAACATATATATAAATATATAATCAGCATTACATTTACACTAATCAAGATTAAGTAAGAACTCACTGTAAAACTGAAGAAACTACAGGACAGTTTAGATTGCATGTGTCTGATGAATCTAGACGGCTGTCACGATACAGGATTCGATCACACCATGCGGGAATACGTTTTTTTTCGCCCGAATCATAACCTATAAAAAATTTAAAACTTAGTCCAATTTTAACCAATTCCATTACTATATATGATAATTAAAAAAGACTTTGTGTTGTATATTGCTATATATATACCTGCTAAACCAGGTTGATGCCTTTCGAATTTGTATGTAGGTGGAAATGTGATAACAGCTTCACGCATTCCTTGAAAAACACTTCCGGCTTTCATTTCCATGTGTAATTGATCTTTCTCTCTAAGCCAATCAAAGCTTCTTTGAGAGATAAAATCACGTGCTTCATCATACGATATATCATCAAGCCGATAATTAAAGTCGCCTAAAAAGACAACCATGTCAGCTTCAGATAGCTCTGGTGACTCATCGACAGACAGGCTACCCATAGCCTGAAAAAATAGAAAGGGCAAATTGGTCATTTTGGGTTAAATTTTATTTCCAACGGGTCAAACGGGTGGAGAATGTACCTACATTTGCAATACGAACCATGGAAGTGACTCCAGCTGCGAAAAGTAAAGCAGGTAGGAAGAGAGAACCATAGAGAATCCAAAGTGAATAAGATGAGGTGGCAAGCAAGCAAAATAAGAAAAGGTATGACATCATCGTAATCATACCAGCTGATGTTGTGTTCAGAAGATTTGATGGACGGGTGAACGACATTGTTTTGTATACATGATCAAAATCAGCATTACGTCTGTTAACAGCATCCAGATGTGCAGCAAAGTGACAGTTCACAAAACAAATAATCCGCCCATAGATTCTCATCCTCAATCCAACTCCTCCCTGTTGACACACCAGTAAATTTATTACTTATTATTACATTAACTAAAAGTAAATGAAAATTTTAATAAAGCAGTTACCTTATTACCAATAGCATTTCCAAATCCACATGGAACTGCTGCCAACTCAACATCTCCAACGTTACTTCTAATATTGTTCCTCACCCTGAAATTAATCACAGAAGTTCAATGTCTACATATCTGATGAAGATAACGAATCTGATATCAATGAAATACTCACCACACTCCAATCAGCATGCCTGCCAGCTGTCGAGAACCAACACGATAAAAACTTGAACCTTCATCCAAGGTTTTCCCAATCATGTCCAACCACCATTGTCCAGCAGAGCTTCCCTCAAGACCTACCTGCATCTGAATGAAAAAAGAATTAAAAAACCTTAAACAAGCAACAATATTAATGGATATGAAAAGTGTCTTACAGTTTCTCTAGCAGCAGACATTGCAAGAAACCCAGCACCCATTTCAACCTCCTGCAACCCAACTGCAACACAGTCAACATCTTTGACTGCAGACCCAACCCATGATATAAGAGAATCTTGTGTTGCTCTTCCTTCTGCTACATTCCATGTACTAGCCAAGATTCTAAAATTTTCTAATTTTGTGTATTGTGATTCTTTGCGAGATAACTCTGAACGTAATATGGTATCAAGGGGTCCAGGGGAGGAAATACTCCATCCACGTGTCACTCCGTCATTGGCCAATGTAAAGATATAGCCTGGCCCAATAGCCATGTCAATGATAGGAGTCTTGTGAGCAACCCACTCTCCAAGTAAATTACCATCAAGATCCATTACATGTAGATACCCGCTTGTATACCCGATCCATATCCGTAACCCGAATGTACATAAAGATCGAATGGGATGAGGGTGAAATTGGAATTCTTGTAATCGGTTTCCATTTGCATCCCATTTTATGATTACTCCATTTGCAGATCCTGTCCAGATGTTTCCATCAGTTGTTATGATTAATGCTTCGATTCTGCGGTTATCTTCAAAGAAAGCTCCTTTGGCTGCAACACGAAGAACAGCATCAGCTGCTCCCATGATTGCATTACGTGAACGTTGAAAGAAACTAATTGTGGTTTGTGGTTTTTCTTTTTTGGGATAAGATGCAAATTTCATCTTTGCTTCTTCTTCTGGTGTCAGGTCCTGTATTGCTGTCAAATTTTCAGCTAGGCCATCGATATTGAACACTTTTAACAACTCTCTTGTGTATGCATCCCTGCAGTTTGACAAATCTTTAAATGCTCATGAAATGTGAGGGAAGTATAAGTAGTAATGATACAAGCACAACATGGATATAAAAATATGAACTCTCTACTATGACAATACATATGGTATCACAGCTTTAAACTTCTCCTTATGGAACTTCAAATGAAGAACTTAGAGTGCCTTAAATAATAGATGTGATATTGCTTTTTAAATCTGTGGTGAACATGTTCATGCCTGTCATGGAAAATCAAATACATAATTGAGTATTGTTATGGCTGCTAGATTAGTCACTTACCACAATGCAAATGACAGAGGCCCTGAACTCCAAACTTTTGCCCCAGAATGATCAGATAACAGATGTTTAACATCTGCTGCAAGTATACTACAGGAGATGCCATTTGAAGTAACTTGGTTCTTGAGATCAATGTATGACCTCTCAACTGTCAAAGAAGCTATGTGTTTTTCCTCTGTTGTTAACAATCGAGCCTTTTCAAGGGATTCCCAAGGCCACACAATTATTGCACCACCCTCGGATCCAGACCATAGATCACCTGGATGAAGTTCAGAATCAGATGAACACCATAGATATCTAAATTAAAATGTTCATGGAGTACCAGGATACAGCAATTTGATCATATTGAGTTATTGACTAATGAGGAGTGCAAGATATATTACCATAGGAGGAGAAGACCATCGATAGAACAGGTCCACGATGAGCCTGCCATGAAAGACACTCTCTAAAAGGAACCTCGATTTCATCAGAAGGTTGATACATTTTCCAACACCTAATCTTACCATCCTTATGCCCACTCCAGACCACCCTATTCCCGTCATCAACCACCAAACACAACGTAGGCGACGTTTTCACTGACTCACGAAACGGTACCTCCGCCTCATCGTTCTCTTCCCCTATCCCTGCGGCATACATATCCTTCATATCCCACACCCGAACACCGCGCTCAGATCCCGCCCATAACTGCCCCCCATCCGCTGTCCCCTCCAATATCCTTAGGAAACATCCAACCTGTGTTTCCCTAAGTGGATGGGGCCGCAATTCGAGACTCGGTGGCCGGCCAGGATGTACGGCAGCCCTAATCGGTAACTTAAACATCCCACGCCCTCCACCACTACCTATGATCTCCGGTAACGCCTGCTTAAGTTCATTATCCTTTCCATCCACTGACAATAGCTTCCGGTCTAGATACTGCATCATGTAATCCAGACGATTTCCAGCGGCCTGCACTAGAGAATTATCACCACCAGTACTACCACCACCGCCACTTCCAGTTGAGTAAAGCCCATCTTCCGATGAAGAGTCGTAGAACCGATCAAAAACCATAAGGGGTTTACTAGTGGTAGTGGTGTTATCACAATCTTCTTCACCGTCGTCATCGAAACTAATCAAATTGGGCGAATTGCTACCAATATTTATTTGAGGACTTGCGGGCGATGAGTTTAACGATGAGAAAAGGTCATCAACGGCGTGATCCCTGGAATCCATGGCTAAAATCAACCCAAAAATGTGTAGAAATAAGTTGAAAAAAAAAAAGAGAAAATATAGGGACGGAGAGAGATCGGGGGAGTCTGTTATCGTTTTGGAAAGGTTCTCTGTTCGGACAAAATCGAAAATGCAGGGGAGAGAAGGTGGGTAATAGCCGGATAGGTGAAGAGTATTCGTTTTAATGATAATGACGTGGAGCCACGTTTTCCACTTTTACGGGGTTTTTTATTCATTTATTTATTTATTTTATCAATTACTACGTATTTAGAGGTGTTTGGATAAATAATGTTTGGATAAATAGTTTTTAGCTTATTAAAATATTGCTTATTTACTTATTACAGTAGAAATAAATTTTTTTTTTTAAATGTGTTTAGATTAGCTTATTGCGGTGGGAATAAGCAATAAGCATATTAAGTGTTTGGCAAACAAAACAGCTTATATGAGTAAAATAATCAATAAGCAATAAGCATTCCCCTAATTACTTATTAAAATCAGCTTATTTTGCTTATTCCTACCGCAATAAGCTGATTTTGAATACTCCTATCCAAACACTTAAATTTGCTTATTGCGGTGGATTAAGAAATAAGCAATAAACAACTTATTTTTTCTCTATCCAAACACCCCCTTGTATTTTAGAACCAGGTTACATGGAAATTACAATTAAAATATTTTTAAAATTTTATTAAATTATAAGATTAGATTTTTTTAAAATAAGGACAAAATAGAAAAACTTTTCAATATTGACCTAAAACATTAAAAATATAAAAGCTCAAGGACAATTTGTGTAATGTACTATTTTTTTTTACCGGGGCACCAATGATCATTTGTGTAATTTACTTTATTAGCATTACTTTCTTCCCAAGTAACTAAAGTTTAAAGAAACAAAACCTAATTATATTTGAACACGCGTTGAAATCACGAATCCCTGAAGGAAGATCGAAATCACTCAATCGTTTGTAAAGAAAGATTGTCGCACATGACCAGGTTCGGATTGAAAATCGTATCAAATGGCGCCATTTTAGGGATATGATTCGACTTATGTATCACCAATTGTATGAGGTAAATAATTAAGGTTTATTTTAGAGAGGATCAACAACATCTAGTATAATACATTGGTAGCACTACGTATTTAACATGTGATTTTGGTATGAAAATGAAAATTGAATTGGACTTTCTATCTTCTGAAAATTACAGTTTAGCTCCTAGTGCTCTTCCATTTTTAATTATTATGAATAGTAAATTATAGTTTATGTAACGTCCAAAAAATAAGACTATAAATTTTTTTCGTTTTTAGATTGGTAAACATCAAACCATATCATTGACATAAAACCAAAGTTATCAAAATGTATTGATACATCATCAATATCAGAGTAAATCACAAAATACGAAAATATATGGTGTGTGCGCAACAATCATCCCGAGCTTTTCCCTTTGAAAACAGAAGTACCTGAAACATTAACTGAACCCTGTGCACAAATCCTAGTGAGTTCCGTAAAATAACACATACCATAGATACATTTGCTACGGTCTACCGCCATAGTCTTTTACTTGAAATGACTTGGGCTACCTCGATGGTATGACATCCAAGGGTTATTGATAAAGCTTCCAACTTTAACCATAACAAGGTCACAAAATTTCAAGATCTAAAATTTATGCACTTAAAGTGACCAAAAGCTTATAACACCCAAAACTAGCTATATCTAACAATTTCATCATCAAGATTCAAACTTTATACCTCCAGAAGAAAGATCAAAGTGAACAAGGTCTAGATCTACAAGCTCCAATGCAACCAACACTTCTTTAATGAGTTCCTTCTTCTCCAATGTGCACCAAGAACACTCCAAATCACTTAAAACACACCTTATTTTTGCTCGCAATGCTCAAACTAAGGTTAGGGTTTCAAGAGGGTGTTGGAGAGGTGGATGATGAGAATGGAATGGGTTTGGGGAAGTTAAGGAACTTAAATAGGGATCAAACCACAAAAATACGGTTTGGGTAGTGATTGCGTACGCCCAACACACTCCTGGTACGCCCATCGTATTAGGAATATCCTAGTATGCCTAGTGTACTTCCGGTACGCCCAACGTACACGGCTAACCCAAAAATCGACCAAACTTCAAACGGTCCTAACTTCTTCGTGCAACTTCGTTTTCAACGTTCTTTATATCCACAAAAAGGTGTTGAAGAGCTCTACAATATTATATAAATATATTGGATTAAAAAAAATCTCGAACAAAAATCCATACTTCATGGAAGAACCCGACCTATAACTTCTCCCTTTTACCCTTTAGCCCAAAACACAATTCAATGGTAAAATCTCTTAACTATCATTACCTCATTCCACAAGGACTAACATTTACCTCCTTAAGGCCCAAATACACAATCGACTTCCAGTCCACGACTCAGAAATGATAGGAAACAAGATGCTACATAATGACTTTGTAAAAAATACTTTTTTTTTTCAAATAAAGTGTTTTCGATACCAGCTTGATTTTAAATGATTAAAAGTTTTTAAAAAAATGGTGAACATAGTATGATCCAAAATGAGATGATTAAAAAAAATTATGATTTAACACATTTATGATGATTAATCTGTTACGTACTAAAAATAATTTGATTCAAATATTTTATGATCCTTAATTATCATATCTTTTATGATCCAAAATTAAATTATTCAAAAAATATAATGATCCAGATGTTGTTATGAATAAAAACTTTATTTGATTCAATATATTATGATCCAAAATCATATGATTAAAAAAATAATATTATCCAACAAAATAATATAATTCAAAATGATATTGATCCAAAATGATATTATTCAAATTTTCATAATCGAAAAATAATATGATCCAAAATAGTATAATGTATAATATTGTTATGATTTGCATTTTTTTTAATTGTGAACATCAAAAACTAGAACTGATGTTTAATTTAAAAAAATGTGAAAAAAAATCAAAAACAAAAAGAAACACAAGAAACTTTAAAGGGGTGGTAAAAACGTTAAAAACTAAAAAATAATTAAAAAAAAAAAAAAAAAAAAAAAACAGCAAACTATACATTGATCTAAAATGTAATGCTCGTTTCAGGTATCGAATTACTTTTAAAAATTTTAGGGTTTTAGGTTGGGACTCGATGAGTTGGGGTGCTCCAATTCGTCGAGTAGAGTTCATTGTGGGACGTGGAAATTAGGACCTACTCGACGAGTTGGAAGCCCCAACTCAACGAGTAGGCACTGTAAAAGGAAATCCTAATTTTAGGGTTTGCACACTATATAATTTCCTTAAAAACTTGAGGTTGACCTTCTATCAATCTCCAAACCCTAAGAACGTTTGTGTAAAACCCTAATCTCCATTTTCTCTCATATTGTGAGCTAGAGTGACTTTTGGAGCTTAAGAAGAAGAAGATAAACTGACACCGTAAGCCCGAGAGCTTAGTGAGCTACCCCCAAAATACCAATACCACACCGATAATACCATATCAATAACAGGTAATCAACAACATGCATACTTGGCCTTCGGTCTGACTGAACCACCCTGTAGGGCCTACAGTCTGTCTGGATCTATCCTGAGCCTTCGGTATGACTGGACCGCCATACGGCCTACAGTCTATCCGAACCGCTCGTAAGGTATGTTGGCCTTCAGCACAAAGCAGGACCACCTCAACCCAGACATTAAGCAAATACCCATGTGCAGATAACTAACATATACTGGCATGTACATATATCAAATATAACTATCTCACAAATTATTGATCTTAGCAATCTCTTATAACCAGTACCGACCAAACCAAGTCACTAACATACCAATCCTAACGGATCATAACCACATGTAGCATACTATAACCAAGATAACAACAAAAAGGGCCGGCCTTGGTGCCTTAGACCCTATTGATATAGTGAGGATAACTCACCTTGCTAGTAGCTCGGAATGATACTGCCCACACCTCTAGATATAGCTCCAACCACCTCGCTTGTACCCATAAGTGGTCCACTCAATAATCACTAAAATTACCAAAGTGCCCTAGGGAGGTACAAGACATCCCACAGTCAAATCAAGTCACTGGTCAATGGTCAATAGTCAATGTTGACCTATTTGCTGAATATAACTCTCTCTGCCTCGAGTTCCTCCTGATTCCAGAATCTCTCGACTCGACTCGCCGAGTCTCTAGCAGACTCGCCGAGTCGATACGCGACCCAGTGCTTTTAAATCCAATCTGACTCACTAGGTCATCTCCCACACCTTGTCGAGTCCATGCGGGACTAATTTGGGCAAAACCCTTTCCGACTCGCCGAGTCATCTCTCAGACTCACCGAGTCAAAACGCATACTCTCATGATCCAGCGATTTTGAACTATCGCTTTGTTCCAATCAGTAGATCTGGGTCCCTAGAGTGCATTAGCAGCGTAAAGTTGCTACCTTTACGTATTTGCATGGCTCAAATTCCACATTTAAGCTTGAAATGGAACTTTACTCATAAACAAGGGTTCCTTTATGACCCTATTAAGAACTTTATGAGCTTAGGGCTCAAAAGAGGTTCAGATATGGAGTTTTAACTTCAAATCAAGCTCCCATACCATAATCCCTTCATTAATAGCTAAAGAAAGCCCTAAACTTCACATGTGAAAGATTCTAGAAGAAAAGAGGTCAAGGTAACAACTTGTTACCTCCAAAACATGCCCAAGCTGAAGTAGACTCTGGATCCACCCGAAATCCTAGATGCTAGCCTCTTGATCTACAAGTTTCCTTCACAAAAGTCACTTCCCAAAGCTCCAAAACACTCTCCAAGCTAACACTCACGGATATTAGGGTTTCTGGATCTCAAAGGATGATGGAGGACAGTGGGAGGCACTAATGGTCCGATATATAAGGTACAAAAATCATGAAATTTAGGGTTTCCTCTGCCAGCTCCTACTCGTCGAGTCCTCATACCGACTCGTCGAGTCACTCATTAAATGACGAGTCCTGACCCGCTGCTACTCGACGAGTAGACCTTATAACATGAATCTAAATGGAAAATAATGATATATGACAGTTGGGACGTTACAAATAGTGTTGGCAGCAGCTTCACGGTGGAACAGTCACATGGCGACGACCACAAGAACGAAACCATCAGCCGCAACAGCTGCCCGGAATGGCGACCATGCAGCGATAAAAGAAGAAGAAGACGGT